GAAGCAAATTATGGATAATATTGTGGGTTTTATAAATTATAAATTTAATGCAATTTTAGTAGGCATGTCAGTGGAAGTGATTAAATGAATTTGTTAAGTATCAAAGAGAATGCGATGACATTGTCGTTGTATGATTAAGTTCTGACTTATTTACTTGTTTTGGATCTAAACTTTAACCAAATTTTACTTTTATATCCTGGTTTAAAGTTATAAACAAGCTTAAAGATCAATCATTTATGATTAAATTAGTAAAACCTGGTAAAACCAAGGAAATCTAAGAGAAAAAATATAATCGAGGTTCATTGAGTTTCAGAGTCAAGCTTAGACTTTTCATTCTTTAGCACTCCCAAATAAACCAAGAGCTTGATAAATACTCAAGCTAAAATCTGAAGAGAACATCAGATTGATTTTCAAACCAAAATCTAGATCTTTATAAGATTAGTAGCTGTCTCTCAACTATAATTTAATTAAAACTCACCAGAACAGGTAAATTTCAATGATTTTTGACTTTTCTTATTAGAAAATTAATTTTAATACACTAATGAAGCTTGTAAAGTTTGTCTAAGCTTTGAATCAAGCTTAAAATACTTTATATTTCTGATTAAACCACATTTGAATAAACACTTTTCAATTAATTTTGTAAAAATTTCAATGTTTACTTCAAACAAAATTTCTGTTTAAAAAATATCTAATTCCATTGATCTTGAAACATTCGTAAATGCTTTAGAATAATTCAAAACTTTAAATGAATTCTTGTTCACTAGAAATTGAGTAAGTTTTTGAGATCCTCAATATATATTTTATTGTGAAATTAAGCTAGTTTGAACTGCAGCTTTCATAAAAACAATGATCACTGTTTAAAAAGGTGTTCAGGAGATAATAAATTACGAATGTCATCATTAATGAACTTAAAACAGTTCAATAGTACAATAAAGATCTAGTTTGTTGAACATGATTCACTGAATATTCAGAAAATATTGAAAACTATTCAAAAATCCAGTAAGTCACAATCATGAAATGTCAAATACAAATAAAAATGCACCCCAAAAAAACACTCGAAACTTCCCAAATACTCTTCAAACCAAAAAAAAATAAATGCACACTATTTACAACGATTAAGAAACCGCTTTAAATATATTAAATTCTCAAGTGTCGGAAAATAAAAATAAATAAGTTTGTCGTGACACTTTTATTTCTTATCAGTTTACAGGAGACTTACTATAGTCAGGCACATTTGATAAGACAATGAATTTAAAAATGTAAATTAAAGAATCTCAAACTTTATTCATAATAAAGTGTACGTAGACAATATCCAGCAACAGAACATTATGTTTAACATCAAACAGAACACGACTGAAGAATTTCACCTTTATTAATCCACAAATCACAAAGTCCAGCTGCATAAAACTTCTTATTCCTTATCAATTAATCACACAAAATCAATTATCACAACAACTGCAATTATAATAATAATAATAATCCTTTATTTAATTAATGATATACATCGGAACAAACTGAATTTATCTTGATGTTAACCTCGTCGGTTTTAAATCAAATGTAAAAATGAAATGTGATTATTGATATGACATGAGACAACTGCAATTACTTATCGTACTTTTGTAAGGTTTAGTTCTTATTTTGAGTTAATGAAAAATTTAATATAAAAACGGAGGAGCTCTCGTATTAACAGCGTGGCACGAAAAAAGCAACTGACGCTACAGCTGTGTATTTTTTTCAATGAAAAACAAAATAGAAAAGAATCAACGTATTAACCGTTTTGAATGATATGTATGAGTAATAATGAAATAATACACGTGTATTGTTAATTTGCCGAAATAAAAAAAAATTGTTTTTTTCATATGCAATGATTTCGATACAATTAAGACTTTGGAATGAATCTGATATAATGTTGTAGATTTGCGAAAAAGAGCTGGAAATTAAGATTTGTTATTAAGGAGTTGTTGAATGTGTGGATGTTAAATCAGCTTGCAGGTCTGTTATTATACAAATGATTGGACAACTTATTAAACTTGATTGAGAAAATCTTCATTTAAGTTGAGATGAGAATTTGGTTCAAATTTCAGTGAAATTTTTGATTCTTACTTTGTTGAAAAACTTAAATAAGAAGCAAGAATTTCACCAAAATCTCAACCAAATCATTTCATCTAAGCTAAAATAAAGCATGTGGAACTGATCAATAAGATCAAAACTGATCATAACCCGATTCATCAGTTCTAGAATAATGAATTTTACGATCAAATGATCAATTTACCAACAATTTTCTTCAATCTCATCTCACTCTGCGAATTTTAATACGTAAACCGATTATTTGCCTACTTACTCCAAAGTCTAATACATGATTTACAGTCCATTAGAATGAATAGAATAGTTGTATTGCATAAATAATTGATTTTAACACTTCATTTTATGCTGTTATATTTATTTTGTGATGAACTCAGAAAATTGATTGAATGACTTGAGACAATGGAGATTATGTGGTCTCTAAGAATGAAACAATTAAGTTAGCAGCTTAGCTCATTGAAATTATGAGGTTTTTTATGAAATAATGCCTACCGCATTTGACCCAAAATGTTTTAATGGAAAATTATTTTTGATGTAATTCGAATTGGAATAGCCGTTGATGCTTTTAAATTAATCTTTAATTATCTCAATGGGTAAATTTGGATCATGTAACATCTGGGAGAGAAAAAATACTTCTTTGAATTTTATTGTTGTGCAGTAAGACGACGTAATAGTCATTTACTCAGAATGTTACCAAGTTTAGCTTTATTATGTCAATTTGGAATCAATCTGGTAAGAAAAAGATATAGATGTAAGGATATTTAAGTCATCCAAAGTTAGAATGATCAGATTAGCCAAAAATGTAAGTTTTTGGAGAAGTTTAGTCGATTTTACAATAATTAACAGTAGACTCGAACTGTCATCTGCAAGACAACAAACTTGAGATTTAAGATGAGTTAAGTTTATAAATAAAAGAAAACCTCTAAATCTACTTCATCTGATGATTCTTGGTTCAAAAAACAACTCAACAAAAATTCTGAAAATGAAGCTAATACAATCCATTAAAGATCTTAAGCTAGCATAGATGAGATCACTCCAAAAAATCAAATATAATTCAGATTAACCTGGTTTAATTGCTTCAGTTTCGAGGAACTAAATTTAGAGCCAATTACTTTGAATTCATGTTAGCTTTTCCACTAACTCGATAATTTCTTAATCATGCTTCTTAAATTCAAAATATGCAGAGAATGGTGCTATAAATGTTAATAAGATCATTCACCTATGTTTATGGCCACAAGTAAATACTCCAAATATCTTCAAGATAATGCTGTCAATTATCAATTAATCCATCTCCACAAAACTGTCACAATCATGATCCAATTCAGCTTGCATCAATTGACATGCGAACTTAGATTTCTCAAGCACAGCCAATTCCAAATGACTTGATTTCGCAAAGAAATACAGCACACTACAAAATTAGAGAAATACCGCTGTAATAACACAAAAAGCAATTACATGATTATTGTTTACAGTCTGCACATATTTATTTGTCTGTATATCTATGTCTTTCTATACAACTGTTTCCCGAGCAGTACTGCAACTTAGTTGCAGAGTTGCGAAACAGGTCACCTGTGACAGGTGAGAACCTTTCAATTCCTTGATAATTTGTATGGTTTTGTTAGGAAAACCTTATAAATTATCAAGGAATTGTAGGGTTTTCACATGTCACAGGTGCCTGTTTCGCAGCTCTGCTTAGTTGCTTAATTGGTGATGTTAAGGTCACCTAATAAGCGGATTTTTAATCCTGTTGCGGGTAAGGATGGTCTGATGTTGGTACAGAGAAGGCTTCTGAGAGAAGAAACCACTTTAGTTTAGCGCAACATGATCCCAAAAGAACAGAAAGCGTACAAAACTTGCCAATCATCAATCCTAGTGCTAAATCAAACCCACTCTCAAATTAAAAATACGCAATGTACAGCTCGGGTGTTTTTTGATTATTTATATCCATTTGGATGTCATGTCATCTAATAACAAAATAATATGTCCTTAATATAATTACATCTTCAATTTATTATTGTTCCTGTTTGTAAGTATTTTAGAAAAATTAAATTTAGATAACATACAGCAGGTTATCTATTTGCTTTGAATTATTATTTTTAACAATATTTATCAACTAGTCATCAACATTCTTTAAGTTCTCTTGTGATTCATGATTTCTATAAATTTTCATTTTGTTTAAAAATATATGACAAGAGAAAATAAGTTCATCCAAATAAATTTATGAAATTTCCATCAATTCTTCAACTTATTATGGAAGTAAATTCAACTTTGATTATGCGTTAATCATCACTGGAATAAGATTCATTCCAAAATTTTCATTATAATTAAATTATATGTATCAAAAATTTACAAAGAATAATAACCTAATATTGAACTAGTAACGCGGCTACGTATAATAAAGGTGGGTTGCCTAAAATGTTGTCTGATTATTGAGATCTTCTGGAACTCATACGTCTTAGTCTTATGACTCTAGTCTGCTATTTAATTCTTTGAAGTCTTTCTCAATGTCAACGAAAGTTATATAAATTGTCTGCATCAATAATCTAGAACAACGGACACCACTTAAATATTAAGATAATAAAGAATTGAATTATATGAGGAAGTTGAGCTAGTATTGCTGATTTTAACAGCCAATCTCCACATAGATTCCAAATAACATACATTTAAGTTGTCAAACTATTAATTAGAAAGGTACTCAAAATATTATTTTTAAGATAATAATGTCAGTCATTAAATCACATTTAATTAGAAGCTTAAATTCAACTTAGAATTCACACAATTGTTCTCTCACTTATTTTCGACTTTCATGCTTTAATGCGCTGAGAATGATTCATCAAATTCTATTCTACACAGTTTTGGGTATTAAGTCACTTAAAATCGAATGATATTGATCATGGAATGATGCAATAGATTCTGTTTTGTCAGACATATTCTTCAATCTGACTTGTTCCTAATCATCTACAATATCAATAATATTTATATAGCACATAATCCAAATATTGTGAATTTTAAGCTGAATTTCTCACTTCAAGGGTAACAAAAAGGGCAAATAATTAAACTAGCTTTCAAAAAAATGTTTCATAAACCTAATTGCAAAAAAGTAATAAAGGCAACCAGCATAAACTACAAATAATTTGGTCCAATTTCAGCGTGTGATTTATGTCAATGTAAATATATCAATTCCTATTCAGATCCTCATGTCAATAAATACTTTAAGACACAAATTGAATCAGCACAAAGCTTATTGCCGATCCGACTGTAAGGCCTAGACCGATAAATGCAGCCATCATGCTTGACGTCATTTCCTTTTCATGCTCCTCGACGACGCTGTTGAAATGAGATAATTACAGCAATTAAAATAATTTAAAATGATAATTGGGGTCTTTGGGAATTTTTTTGGAAGTATTATGGAAAGTACGAATGAGATTTATCAATTATAAATCAAGTTGAGTGAAAATTTAACGGATTTTGATTATTTAAAAATTTTACTTTACTGCTTAAGTTCAAAAATTGAACCTGAAATCATAACGGTTTTTTGTTTTTCAAATTTTGAAAAACAGTAAGAAATTTTAAAATTAAACATAAATTTTAAACTTATAAACGCCGTTATTTTTCAGCTCAAGAAAAATTTAATTTTCAAATCCCAGAACCTTTAAAAATATACAAATTTACTTACACTGGTGCAAAGATACAGCTAATATTCGCAATATATCCATTAGTAAAAGCAAATCCAATCATCAATGCAATAAATATTTCATCAGAATGAAATAGAACGGGAAGTGGATGCTTTTGTGTGATATTACATAATAGAATGGCAGGAACAAAAGCCATACGAAGAAAAGTCAAAAAAGCAACAAGTCTAGGCTTATTGTTTGGCCATTGTAGCCATCCTGATATAATTCTCCCAAAATAATCGCATGTATTAAAGACCAAGTAGTTGATGACAGGAAGGAAATAAACATCATTCCATTTATGTCCATGTCCATAGCCAGTAGACTTAACAAGAACTGTTATCGCTGGAAATACACTCAATGTTGTCACAGCACATAACCAAACAGCCGAACCATGCATCCAAATTTTTCCACAAATCTTCTTCCAATCTGGCTGTAAATAATTCCTATTTACACTTGCTATTGTTGTTGCTGTTATCTCACTCGTACCCGTTTCATTATTTATCGAGAATGTGTTAGCTTTTATGTGCGATTGATTTATATGAAATTTGAAGAACAGCGTCTTTGACATATAAATGTATAAGATAATCGCAGACACTAGAATCACAGTGCCGACACAGAAATAGATGAAAGCGCTCACAATCGGATCAGTTACGAATGATATGGAAATAACTTCAGCGAGTGCTGTAAAAACTCCACCTAATGCCTGACCACCAATAACGGCTGTTATGTATCGACTTGAGAACATTCCAGCTATTCCAAATAATCCACCAGACAGGATGGCACTAAATATGTTAATCACAAAGACAGTCGTCAACGTAAATTCAAAGAAGTAATCTTGATAGTTGTCTGTGTTGATTTGTACAAATATTGTTGTTATAATGAAGAGAATCAAGACTATCACCATTGATCCAATCATACGAAGCTTCAATGATATTCTGTAAAGAAAGGAAATACGTCATACGGGTTCAAATATCCAATAGTCAATAGCATGTAATATTCTCTATGATTCATAGACATTGACTTACTTATGACTGAAGAATGCATTGAGAACTAGAAATATTGTCGTTGGTATGCTCGAACATATTGCTATGTCAGGCTGAAACTCAATTTGTCGTGGTGTCAGCACACTCGTGTCATTGCTTGATAAATTCCTAAACTTGTACTGCCAATATTCTTCAGCTGTGATGAAAAAGTTCCATGGAAGAAGCGTCACCCTAAATGAGAGAATCTTATTAGTGATGTTTCTGGATGTCGTAAGGACAGTTTATAGAATTGATTCTGGATCTTTTAGAGCTTAACATTCAAACTATAAGTGACTCATTAGTGTAAATGACTCCCAAAATTTAATTTGGGTCAAATGTAGAAATGTCTTTGTGTTTTTTGCGGAATTAACAAAGAAATAGACGTAATTCGACTAATTTTATTGTTCCCTATAAGTTTTTGCTGGATCTTTCGAGTTGATCCAGTTGTTAGCAAAAATCATGTTTACAGGACCACAGAATACATCAATGTGGTCCATTTTATCTAGCAATCAAGCTGTCATTCCAGAAAACCCATTTAACATCCTTTACATCCATCAAATCACTTCCAATAATAATGAACAATACTCACATTCCCAATAAATAAAACACTAAGAACGAGAAATTATATGTGTCCACAGGAGCTGCACTAGGCCTTCGTTCCTTGACTGTTGCTTGTGATGATCGTGCAGATGTTGCTATATAAGTATTGTTTTCAAGAATTGTTGCCTGCAGACTTTCTTGAGATTCATCTTCGCTGGATATTTCGTCATGTTGATTTTGCAATAGTGGGTTTCTTGATGGTGAGTCCATACTTAACAGATAATTAAATTACGCGGCACTTACTAAACAAGCACTAGAAATTAGATTTCTGATAACACTTTAATTTTAGCAATTTTTTGCACTGTTTTGTTTTCTGGTTTTTAACTCAATTATTCATAGTTATCGTTGATAATTAAGAATGATTTGTGTCGGAGCGAATGCAGTAAGCTTGTTCAATATACATAGACTATTATTAGTCACTGAATTATAGTATGTTGAGTCCGATATTTGTTAAAACAAAACTCTTTGTTTTCTTTCAAATAGGGGATTAATAACTCGCGTTGATCAACAAAACAGTGATTATGAAGTACTTACTTACGTCATTGACATAAAGCGAATATGTAGGAATGAGGAGAAACTGAATTAAATTACTTTTTGATTTCTTTGGACAAGAAATGTCAACAAATATTTAACGATTTTTTTCAATTTGTATATTATGATTCTTTGTCAATGATAACTTTTTGAACTTCCTATTTATTTATTTTTATCGTTAAATTATTTGCGTCTGCGTCTGCTAGAATATTTTGTGTGGTTTAATAATAATAGACAAAATGCAAAGTTCAAAATTTTCCATCCACAAAAAACTGCTAATTTGAAATTACAGAGGTTGTTTACAAACATTTGAACAGGTTACACGGCATAATTTTACAATAAACATATTTAATTAAATTAACTATGTTGGATCACGTTAAGCATGTAATTCTCGTGCTCTCTGGCAAAGGCGGTGTTGGTAAGTCTACAGTATCTACTCAACTAGCGCTGACATTAAAAGAAAATGGATTTAAGGTACAAAATACTTTCTTATCAATTCTGTTCCTGAACATTCTTAACATATCCACTTAAATACTTAAGGTTGGCTTACTGGATGTCGATTTGTGTGGTCCAAGTGTTCCTTATTTACTAAATCTTGAAGGTAAAGATGTTCATCAATCATCAGAAGGCTGGGTTCCAATTTATACTGATTCTTCAAAGTCACTTGCTGTCATGTCCATTGGATTTCTACTCAAAAACAGAAACGATGCAGTGATTTGGCGTGGACCAAAGAAGACTGCAATGATTAGACAATTTATGACAGATGTACATTGGGAGGATTTAGATTATTTAATCATTGACACGCCACCGGGTTAGTATAAAGGCTGTTTTCATTACTGGACATTGTTTTGATATATTGTGATCCAGAGAATGTCAATGAAAATGTATAACGATTAATTTCTATTTTAGGAACATCCGATGAGCATATTACAGTAATGGAATGCATGCGTGAAGTGAAATGTGATGGAGCAATAATTGTTACAACGCCACAAGAAGTAGCACTTGAAGATGTCAGAAAGGAAGTGACATTCTGTCGTAAAACAAACATTCCAATAATTGGCATAGTCGAGAACATGAGTGGATTTGTCTGTCCAAATTGTCGTGAATGCACAAACATTTTCTCATCAGGAGGTGGACAATCATTAGCGGAACTCATTAAAGCACCTCTATTAGGGACATTACCAATAGATCCACGAGTCGGCGTTCTCGCTGGAACTGGAAAAGCTGTAATAAGTGAAATTCCTGACTGCACAACCTCAACTGTATTTAAAGAAATTGTCGAAAAAATCACAAAATAAAGGAACAATGTCTACGGAAGCAAAGAAAAATTGATGGAACAATAATTTTAAAAGCCTTTATTGATGTCTCATTAACTGAAACTGTCTAACATTCATGCCTATAGCTTGATACACGTTATTTGGAACTTCTTTCAATTTTTTTCTTAATCTGTTGAGGATCTTAGTAAGGAATTGTGTTTATTTGATAGAATTAACGTCGCTAATATATTTAATGTCGGTTCCACATCTGATTTTGTTTTTATTTATTTTTTAATTTTACTTTATTCATTTTAAATCGCTTTTTGAACAACAATGCGGCAATGTTTATTACTTTCTTGTATTATTATTACTTTACTTCTTCATCTGGATTAAGAACTGACTTAAGCTTCAAGTTCAAGTGCAATACCGACTTTGTGGCCACCGGCATTGAAGTTCTTGCCTTCGATTAAAGTTGACAATGACAAGGTGATTCCTAGAAAGAGAATTGATTCATTATGTGCTTAAAATGTCTTGCTGCTGTCCCTAAGATTAAAATTAATCGTACGATTATTCAGTCGGATTTAATTTAATCTTCGGACTAATTTAGATTTGATCCACATAAATTAATTGCTGTTTCCATCCAATAACTTAATTATGCCATATCTAAAGTGGAATGTTATCAGCAAAACTGATAAATCCTCAAATTGCATAACTTTTTCCAATTCATTGTCAGCACTAATTCAGCCCCACCCCAAAAACAAAAAATGCTCATCCTTACCATCGCGTAATCTTTGTTGATAAGCCAATCCAATTTGGCTTGAGTTGTTGACTTTAGCGCGGACTGATGATTCTTTGTCCAAGTCATACTTTGTACCAATACTGAATTTGGTTGCATTTGTACCGGATGTCCATGATAATTGAACACCAGTTTCAAGACGATCGCTGCAACGTTGATAAATGCTTCCACCAAATTCACGACCGTCGTTGCTAAAATTAGAAAAGAATAAAATGAAGAGTAAATAACATCACGTGATGGTGATTATACAAAAGAGAGAGTGATGTCATAATTGAGTCATTTTTGTGAATGAAAAGTTAAAATCGTAACGGATTCTTGAATTTTGAAGTTTCAACGCTTTATGTAGTTCAAATTCTACAGCTTGAAGTTTGCTTCAAACCGTTATTTTTTGCATAAAATTCAAATATTTTTGTAACGGAAATTTTATATTGCATCCCCAATAATGACAGTCATGCTCATTAATCGAATACTTACACATTTGTGTGAAGAACAAAGTCACCAGTAATGTAGCCAAGTGCAAAGTTGTTGGCAGTAAGCTTGCTCTTTTGTGTGTCAAATGCCAATTGGTAACCTGCTAACCATCCTTGATAGTCAACAACAGCTGATGCATTGATCAATGGACCAGCCAAGTCAACATTAACGTCACCGTCTAATCGAACACGTTCGTGAGCGTATGATGTCTTGAAGCGTCCTGTCTTGCTTCTACATTTGTACAAGAAATAAATTGAATAAGGGTAATTTTTAAAAATTCGTCCTTTAAAGCGGCATGAGATGTGACGAGGAACTATTAAGCTGCGGAATGTCTATGGTTATAATTTGGTGGATTAAATAAGGAAAATGGAATTTCTCGTCCACAGCCAATAATTGTAGAATAGATAGGAATAAGCAGTAATAAAAGTTTACCCAGTTTGTGGTGCAAATGAGCCATCGAAACTCAATTTAAGACCCTTGACAAGTTGATCCTCAACTGAAACCTCTGATGTCAAAGTGTTGTCTGTGTTCCACTTTTCGGAGAATGTAAGTCCATGTTCCTTGAGCTTATACTTGGTCTCCAATGAACCAGAAACTTTGCCATTGTCTTGATTTGAATTTCCTGATGTGGTAAATTCAACACCGCTGCTTGTTTTGGTCTTTACGTCCAATTTCCATAAGCCAAAGTGATATCCCTTGCCAAAGACATCACGAGCGTTCTTTCCCAAATCTGAGTATGCTGGTGGAGCCATCCTAGAAGAATGAAATAAATAAAATAATAATTAGCGATCGAAATTGAGGAACTGAATATTTTTTCGGATACAGAAATAGCAGCAAGTCTATTTTCGAGTACAGCACGTGTGGCGACTAGAAGTAGCTATTTTTGGCTAATTTGTAGCTTTGTTATTGTTGTTTTGATTCTAAAACTTTTTTGTAATCATCTGGTTCGATGGTCAATCAAGGAGGAATCGGTCAAACTTTCTTACGTGCTGTGTGCATTTATTAATTTTAATTTTCCTTCAATTTCCTATATTTTTACACATGCACAATTATTTTTTGTGCTTTTTCTTTTCTCTTATTTCTACTCATGCAATAGTCTTTCATAATTAGCTCGTTCTATATACTCAGTCTATGTATTTGTAGCTTATGGTTCGATATTGCACAACATGTGTGCTTTATTCTTCTTGTATTCATTTGGAGAAGTAACTGAGCATTCATCAAGATGATGGAAATTTCTTGTAGCTATCTTTAAGGTCATTTAAGTTTAATGCTTTCTGTTGGATATGTTCTGAGGGGGTCTTCGATTTGAATAATTTCGGGAATTAACTGAATCTTAGTTTCATGGAGTTTTATCTTAGATCCTAGACAAGTCTCTCGTTAAAGCTGTAGATTCTATGTCCTACTCACTCCTTAACATCATAACTGAACTACTCCTCTAATATTTAAAGATAACTCAATATATAATTAGAATATCGTGCATGACTCATGTGTTACCAACTTAGCAATTAATTGAGAGTGATAGCATGCACTGTTATTTTATTTGTCACACAACATATGCTGCTGTGGCTTAATCTTGAATTTATTGAGCATTACATAACTGAGAAAATGTGTTTTTGTAATTGAAAATTTCAGAATAGAATTTGTGACTAGATTACGCTGTATGGATCAAATTTTTGGGATGATTAAGCACATCATGTATGTAATTTAGGTCCAACTTCATTAGAGAAGGCATAACTTGCTCAAAAAAAAAGCTATACAACAGTTTGTAGCTTAACAATGCTCAGGGACCATTAGTAGACTTAGTTCTACATCAAATGGTTCTCAAACTCTCGAAACTATAATTTTCTTAATTTCTAGGTTTCTTTGGAGTGTTTAATCTACTCAAAAACTATTTAGACACATCTAGGATTCTTAAACTATCAAAATTGAGTTGAAATCTATCTTTTTTTGGAAGCCTTGTTTGCTGAATCAAAGAAGTTGAAGAATTACTGCTGCCTAAATCCTAGATTTTCTGTTGAATAGTTAAGTTATGTATATATTGATCGTAGGAATCTGATTATTATTGTAAATATTGTTATCGTGAAAAGAAGTTTATTTAAAGTTAAGAATCCCATTTTTGCTATTCTGCAAGGATTAAAATAAAGAATACATTATTTTAATTATCTAAGATTTTCAGTAGCTATTGATTGAATTGAAAATAGTTCAGCACACGCTTATAGCTTATAGCTTACAATCTAGGAGAATTGCGACTAATTTGAAAATACTTTAAATAACAAAAATATTCAATTTAAGGTGGAACTAGCACTTTTACTGACTTATCACCAAAGTTAATAAGCCTTAATAATTTTTTGGCGTTATCTGAGCATAAATTCAGCACGTATCTGATAATGACAGACGATAAACACATGAGGAGTCATACACTAATTACTTATTGCGTATTTTAATTAATAATTTCAACAAAATAGACAACTCGAGCCGCTTGGGATATGTTAATCGAGGCAATAGTCAATTTCATAGCGTTTTAAATATCTTTTCATAAACAAAATAGCTAGTTCTTTGTATGAAAAATATAATAATGATGTAACATCTATGGATAGCTAAGCAATAAGACATAACATCCCTATATTAAGTCTGTAAAGTGCTCTTAAACATTAAATGAAACAAGAATCCATACAAAACTCAATTCCTCACATTTCTTAATTAAATAACAAGCAATTAAAGACATCATCTGACTCTCCTATCAAAAAAATGCTCTCTTACAAAGTAAATCACAGCACTAACGCAAGTACAAATATTCATACAATACTGTTGATTTTCAATAAGCCTTAGACATGTCATTTTCATGTCTGTTTAGTTAAAAGAGCGAAATAGAAGAGAATATTTTTAAACATTCTTCTTGTTCCTGCGTTTATGTGCGAGACGTGCAAAATCGTCATCACACGTAAAACTTACAGACGTCATTTTATTGAGAAATTTTTTTTCCTTTGATGATAAGGAAGGCAAAAAGGGTTTTTAAAATAAAATTTGACCGTGAATAAATGTTTTCGGACATTTGCAAAAATAGAGCTAGTGTTATATCATCGATTGAATTAGAAAATTATCAATTCCTTTCGATAATATTAATAGTAAACAGCGTACAGCAGTTCACTAATACCGAGTTAAGTTTGTCTTTTTAGACCTCCACTGATAAAAGAAATTGTACGGTAGATATGAGTGGAACGATTCATGACGACTACTACATTTACTCCTGCTGTGCGGTGCTATGTGTGACTGACTAGAATGGTTCTGCTGTATTGCAGGCTTATTACGTCACAATTATTAATGTTGTAAACTTTTTCCCAAATCGATTGAATGTAAATAGTACAGAAAACCGGGATATATGAGGCTTGTATGTCTCATTACTCCTTGATGCTCCCCATACATAATGGCGTTTGAGTGAAAAAAATCGATTTTTGGGATCAGAGGCTTGACTAGGTTTTCTTTTTTGATATTCAATTATCAATTTAACAGGTTTTTGACCGAATCTTGTTGCTGTCACTATGTATGACATGAACTCTAATTAGAAATTTACACCTTTACGCATAATCATCAGCGGCTTAATGTGATCCAATTGATTACGCAACAAATTGCAAAAACCTTTATTTTCGTCAATAAACTTAAATTTTTGGCAACTGAACTGCTTAAATCGCTTTTGATGACGGAAATGAACTTGAATTAGCAAAGTTTTGTTTTAATTATAGCGAAATTTCTCGAAATTTTAACTTTTTCTTTTCTTACAGCACATTTTTTGGTGAAAATTTTATTATTGATTCTTTCTTCCTTAATTAATAGGATTTTTATTCTATAACTTTAATTGCACTTTAGTTCTACTTACTTTCAATGATTATTAATTAATTACTGGCTTAGCGGAACTTGGTAGCGATTTAAAAGTTTTATTAAATGCGACTGAGACGAGAGTCAGTTTTCTTTTCAATAAGTAAGCAATATTTCTGCATGCTAATGGTTATTGTTTGTCAGACTGTTCAGATTTCAAATCTTATTATACCGTTAATTTTTGAACTTCAACATTTTTGTAAATATGGATTTTAGTGAGTATTAAACATAATCAATTTAATTGAATAGAGCAGCTTTATGATATCTTTCTGCAATTTTAGAGGCACTTAAGGAAAGGGCTAAGGCGTTCGCAGAAAATGCAAAACGAGAGAAGCAGGAGAAACAGCAAAAAATAGTAAATATTAAAATTGACAAAAATTTACCGTCAATATCCAAGAATGAAGCTGTGATATCTGAGTACATGGACGTCCTGCGACAAACTCATCAGACTATAGGCAAAACATTACTAAAGGAGCGACTGGAGAAGAAGAAAGAAGATAAATTTAAGAATGTAAATTATGTTAAGCAACAATTCAATCTCCAAAAGAATACTGGAAGTCTAAAAAGCAAGATTAAACACATGAGAAGGCAAAGGATATTCCCACAGCCTAAATCCTTCATGAATTATCGGAATAGAAATGGATTAATTAAGAAGAATTCAATAAAAATAAATAATTAAGTTAAAGTTCGGTCATCTCGGAAGTTGATTTTAAAAAAATTCAATTTAAAGTTTTATTAAAGATATACTCAGTCAATTGTAAACTATAACCATGTAATATGTTCAATGTCTACCTAAATAAGCAGTTTGCAGGACATGACATTCGACATAATTTTTAAAAATCGAAGTTAACGGTTTTTCAAAATTTAAACGAATCACAACAAAAACAGCGAGAAAAAAAAAACAAAAATAGCACATTTTTGAGTTTTAATATTTTTTGTGATTTAATGTATTTAAACGAGTCGATTTAATGGTTTGACAAAGGAATTATAAGCATAATGTACCGCTTATTGGGTTACAAGAGTTCACAAAACGTGCGGTTATTGATTAACCGAGGAAAATGCATTGAAAATACAACGCAAAATTTTCACACATTACTTAATCATAAAAATCGTCTTCTAGCCATAACTGGTAAGTTCTCTAGGTCATTATACTACGCAATACCTGTTCTAAATCGAATCTATGTCAAATTAACCGGTTGACAACTTTAGATGTACAGTTTTAACAATTTTGTAATTTCATAACTTTCCGGTTCTTTTAGATAAGCCAAAAGTGCAGCAAACTGTATCATCCAGTAGTATTATTAATGCAGAATTGCTAAAAAAGATGGTCAAAAGGAAAAAGAGGAAGAAGAAGTATACAGAACTGTTACAAGGTAAGTGTTTGAAAAGTATTTTTGAGTGCAATTATTAGACATACAAAAGTTTAATTTTAGTAACAAGCAGCTCAACGAAGGAAACGACCACACTCGTGCAAAATCTCAAGGCTAAAAAATTGTCAAATTTCATTGAAGGAACGAGTCAGTCATTAACATCCAGCACAAAAAATAACAATTTACCACAAGTAGGTAGTTCAGAATCCAGTGATGTCCACAATCATCTTCCAATAGTTTTTGTTGATGACAATATTAATGAATTAAAATTAACATCAGAAAGATTGAAGGATATAATTGATAGTTATAATGCATATAGAGATAATACAAATACAGAAATATCACATGAAGGAGCTTTAGAGGCAACAGAAGCTATTGAGGAAGAAGCAGCTGCCGAGGAACTGATTGAAGAAGATGAACATCACGAAATTATCCCAGAAATTATTCCCCAAAAGATCCCAAAGCTTAAAACTCGATTTCAAGGCTCCGGTGGATCAAAAATGATTGATATGGAATTAAAAATGAAACAAAAGTCTTTGGCAATATCATTGCGTGCCTTTATAGATTGTTGTGTCCAAAATGGAATGGTTAATCGTGGATACTTGTCTATTATAAGATATCGATGGAGATGTAAAAAGGCTGGAATGTATGGAATTAAAATAACTGATGTGACTATCTATAATCTACTAATGCGTGGATATTCTGAGAAAGAGAACTTCCTTAAATTAAAGGAAATCATGGGAATAATTAGAGAAGATCATTTAAAGCCAAATGAACAAACTTTTGCGACATTACTTGACTGTCTTGGACGATTGTCACACAATGACTTATCATTCGCTAAGAATAAGATTGAAAACTTCCAGGAATTAGATCAAAACATCCAAAAAGTCTTAGATGAAGCTGCTTATAATAAAATATCACCAAATGACATTATGGACAAGACAATTTTCGTTAAAGATCAAAGAGAGATGGTTCTGCATGCTATTCGACGAATTAATCCTGACTTTATACCTGAACATACAAAGCCTGAACTTTTGTACAATAATCACTTAGTTAATTCTTTAAATGAGCATGTCCAGCCAATAGAATATCATCCAATTAAGAATTTACATGTTAAATTGCCTGGATCTGAGATTATGGAAAGTAAGAAAGGATTTAGTCGTGATGATTTAGAGAAATGGGGACGTGAACAGCTACTGAATGAGCTTAATGGCGAAATCACAATTAAATCAATTTTAAAATATCCAGAACCGACACCAAAAGTTCTAAGTTACCGTGAGAAGCTTAATGAGCTTCATAAAAAATGGCGAGAAAGTATAATTTCAAGCTTTAATCGTGACTTTAATGTTTTAAGGATGGAGGAATTAAGACTACGTGGAAATCAAAATTTATTGCCATATTTGAGGACATTAGAAGTTGAACAGTATGCGGATATATTATTGAATGAGATTCGTCGCTTAACTGAAGGATCCGAGACTTATAGTCCATATCTATCGCAACTTTATCGTAGTTTAGGTGAAAAAGTGGAAATGAGATTTCATATCGAGCAGAAAATGAAGCTTGGCGTTCTGCAGAAGACTGGCGATGTTTTTGGAAATTACTGTGATGTTTTAGCTGCTGGAAATTCTAGTGACAATTCAAGGCAATGTTGGCAACGAATTGTGTATCATTCGAAGGATGATGGTGCTAGTATGGATTTTCATCATCAGCTATGGCCAATTGGAGCTAAAATTGGTGTCGGAAAGTTCCTTTACAATATTCTCGTTCGTGACCTTAAATTGGATCCGAATTTCCTCAAAACTGGCAAGCTACAGTCGGAAAATTTAATTCCAGCATTTTTCACACTTTTTAGACATCAAGCTAAGAATGTTAAGGAAGAGCTTAAACCACATCCAATGCTTATGAAATTATATAGAGGATCACAGCAAGAAACGCTGACTTTTGATGTGAATTTAGTTCCAATGGTCTGTCCACCGCAACCTTATTGGACACCGAAAAATGGTGGATATCTAGTAGCTCATTCTGACTTTCTTCGATTGCCTCCAAACAGTTATCAGCAGTTAGAATTAATTGATGATATTCCAGTTCCAAATTTATATCCAATTTTTGATGCATTGAATCAGCAACAAAGTGTAGCTTGGAGAATAAATACAGAACTGTTGGATCTAGTCATTAGTGTGTACAATAAAGGCGGTGATGATAAATTGGATATTCCTGAATTACCTGATAATTTACCACCACCAGAAGCGCCTGTCAATGACGGAAGTCTCTCGAATTTTGATAAATTTAGGTAAGTTTCAACTGTACAAAAAGTATTTGAATAATTAACGCCCATCAAAAATTTGAAATTGAACTTAAAATTTTTGAATATTTTCTGACAGTTATTTTTCAAAAAAAATATGACAGTTTTATATAAAATTATTTTCAGGTACTTTCGAGAGAAATTAACGCACAGAAAGAAGCAATCTGAAATGTATTCATTATGGTGCGATGCTCATTACAAATTGTCACTAGCGAATCATTATCGAGACAGAATCTTTTGGTTGCCACAAAATCTTGATTTTCGTGGTCGTCTTTATTCGATTCCGCCTCATTTGAGTCATCTTGGTGCTGATTTAGGACGTTCCTTGCTAATGTTTCATCAGAAAAAGAAATTGGGCGTTGATGGATTGTCATGGCTTAAACTTCATTGCATTAATTTGACAGGATCAAAGAAAAGAGATTCGGTTAGGGAACGATTGCTTTATGCTGAGGAAGTTCTTGATGAAATCATGGATTCAGCTGATAATCCACTTGATGGACGTCGTTGGTGGATTAAAAGTGATGAACCGTGGCAAACACTCGCTGTTTGTAAGGAAATAACAAAGGCAATAAGATCTGGTGATCCTGAAAATTATGAAAGCTGTATTCCTGTGCATCAAGATGGATCATGTAATGGATTACAGCATTATGCAGCGTTAGGACGAGATACATTAGGTGCAAACAGTGTAAACTTAACGCCAAGTGAACGTCCACAAGATGTGTATAGTGATGTCGCACAGCTTGTGGAACAGACTCGACAAAAGGAGGAAGACAATAATGTGCAAGTTGCGAAAATTTTACGCAATTTTATAGCTCGAAAGGTCATCAAGCAAACAGTCATGACAACAGTTTATGGTGTGACTAAGTACGGAGCAAGATTGCAGATTGCCAAACAACTTAAAGACATTGACGACTTTCCTAAAGATTATGTGTGGTCAGCATCAACATTTTTGGCGACAAAAACTTTCGATTCCATCCGTGAAATGTTCTGCAGTACACGTGAAATCCAGGACTGGTTTGTGGACTGTGCACGTTTAATTTCGACAGTATGCAATGAGAATGTTGAATGGGTTACGCCTTTAGGACTTCCAATTGTACAGCCTTACAGCCGTGGTAAGGTAAAAAGCGGAAAGAAGCTTGATGAGAATAATGTCATGAGCAGAACGCCAAACGCATTAAAGCAGAAAAATGCTTTCCCACCAAATTACATACATTCGCTTGATTCCTGTCACATGATGCTTACGTCTGTGCATTGCGAGAAAATTGGACTGAATTTTACATCTGTGCATGACTGCTATTGGACACATGCTTGTACAGTGCCTGAAATGAGTAAAATTTGTCGCGAACAGTTTGTAGCTTTGCATAGTGAGCCGCTTTTAGAGGATTTATCGAAATTTATGGTCAACAAGTACAGTTTTTCTAAAAAGTAAGTCACTTGCTTCCTAATATCATTTTAATGTATAATTAATATTTTCCTTTCTTACAGTCAACTATTGTCCGATGGCTCAGTAGAAGACATGACAAGACGAAAATTGAACAGAGTTCTTACAATGGTGCCTAGAAAGGGTGACTTTCAACTCGAAAATGTCCTCGATTCCATTTATTTCTTCAGTTGAATGCATATTCCTTATTTTTTATGATGAAAGAAAAGATTTAGTTTATAGATCTAGTCAAATAAAAGTTTGATAAAAATTAACTTCGTTGATTAGAATTTTCATTAGGTTTATAGCTAACGTCATTTTCGAATTCAAATTTTATGTTTCAGTGAGGTCAGGTTCAAAAAAATTTAACGAAAAATTAAACTTTGATTTTTGAACCTAAGAAAGTTCAAAACTTTTAATAAAATTTAAAATTCTCATTTAGGGGTCGTTCACTTATGACGTCCAAAATTAACTGTCATTTTTCAAAAAAGAACAATGGATTTCTAGGAATTTCTATTCTTCTTTTCTTGCTGACCCCCCCCCCCCCCTGGACGTTGTAAGTGTACCCCCCCTAAGGCCCCTAAGTGCTTAAAAATATTAATTAAACGAGCTTGCACTGTAATTAAGCAATGGATCAATTCAAAACCTTGCCGGATCACATCTTAGAAAAAGTTTTTGGAAATTTGAGTACAAACTTGATTAGATCATGTAGTGGTGAAATGGCATCAGTGACTTAAATGGTAGAGCGTTGGCCTTCTGTGCCAAAGATCCTGGGTTCAATCCCAGGCCATGTCTAATTTTCGAAGCTCTTTTTCTTAGCTTCTTTAATAGTTTAGAGGTCTTTGGCACAGAATATGCCTCCTTTGCTAGGTATACAAGGCATCTTGCGCACACGAATTGTGACATTGCAGGGTACATCAGGTCTTATGACGTACTCGTGTCTTTGCAATGTGCAGAGCTTGCAAGTGGTTCTAATCTCACCTTAAATTGTAGGTCTAAAGGGTATGGTACAATAGATTCTTCACAAATTGAATCGCAGTGCCTCCAGCTGAAAGGCTGGGCCCTTCACACATTATTAATATTGATTAGATCATGTGCTAAAGTCTACAAAAGGTTTTATTAATATTTTCGAGAGGTTTTATAACTTTAACTTAATTAAAGTGTATTTTGTAGATGGTGTTAAGAAATCCCTTTTGATTTCTTAATTTAATGCACTTTATGTGCATATTTTTAAAAAATCGTGAACTTAATTCAGTCACTCACCCTTTCCTGCAAACAATAATGAACAGCTGAAATTCGAGGAAGAAATATTTTGCGTTCACAAAGAAAATCCCACTTTAGCTCAATTTCAATCGACTTTATTCAGCTAACCTTTCGGTATCTTCCGTTCAAACTAATTACGAATAAATCAATTAATATATTATAATTAAAAACATTCTTATGCCTCACATTTATTCTGGATCAGGGAATTAAAGTGCTCGAAGTGTCACTTCTGAGTTTCAGCTCTATACTAATCTTCATACCCACATTTCACCATTTAAGTGGTGAGTTTGGGCAATTATGGTTATTATTATTATTTATTTGTCGACGTTACCGTCCGGAAGAATTCGTATTTATACATGTTTTTTACTTTTTACATTGATTAGTGATACATTTCATATCACTATGGGTGACGTAGAATCAAGCTTCTAATCTTCAAATCTAGGTTTCAAATAAACTAAAGCTCTCGTTTCTTTCTTCTGTGGGCGTGACGTGATACATTTCAGGTCCGTTCTGACAATATTCCATTATAAGGTAATCTTGTAGCTCTCGTTCCTATTTCTCCCGCTACACTTCAAGTTCCTGATCCGTTCCTTAATCCAACGTTGCCCAAAATGCAAACTGCTTGGTTCTTTGCTCAAAAAAAATTTAGAATGTTTTATTTGTATTTGTGTTAAACACTAGAATATTTATGCAAAGTTTCAATCCATTTGGATAAACCCTCGAAGAAAAAAGTGAAAAAATTGATTTTGACTAGGGTCGCCCGTAGTCCAAAATTGAAAATGTATTTCCTACTTGGTTCTTTGCTCACAAAATTTTAAGATGTTTTATTTGTATTTGTTTTAAGCACTAAAATATTTATGCAAAGCTTCAATCCATTTGGATAAACCCTCGAAGAAAAAAGTGACAAAATTGATTTTGACTAGGGTCGCCCCTAGTCCAAAATTGAAAATGTATTTCCTACTTGGTTCTTTGCTCACAAAATTTTAAGATGTTTTATTTGTATTTGTTTTAAGAACTAGAATATTTATGCAAAGTTTCAATCCATTTGGATAAACCCTCGAAGAAAAAAGTGACAAAATTGATTTTGACTAGGGTCGCCTCTAGTCCAAAATTGAAAATGTATTTCCTTCTTGGTTCTTTGCTCACAAAATTTTAAGATGTTTTATTTGTATTTGTTTTAAGCACTAGAATATTTATGCAAAGTTTCAATCCATTTGGATAAACCCTCGAAGAAAAAAGTGACAAAATTGATTTTGACTAAGGTCGCCCCTAGTCCAAAATTGAAAATTGATTTTCTATGGTGTACTTTGGTCAAAAAATTTTTCTGGATGTATTATTTGAATTGACATAATTCTGACATAAATCACATACCAATGTTACTTTTTGTAATGCATAGCTTAAAAAAAACGAAATCTAAAATTTCGACTATCCCATCTGAATTTTGTTCATACTCTTCACTGTGGAAACCAAAAAAACAAATTCTTTATCTTAAAACACTTGACAAAATAGCGACATAATTCAGGATTAATTACTTTTTAATAATATTTTAACATTTACTAGAAAATGTGGTTCAAATAAGTGTGAACCATCGCCGAGATTTGGACCAAAATCAGCTATACTGGTTCATAGTGTTCCCGAGGGTGACAAAATTCAAACTAAGTGTTTTTGTAGCTGACATAATTATGACATAAATTAGGTATAACCAGGGTGGGTGAATTAAATCAAAACTCATTTTCAAATTCATTTTCAAATTAATTGAATTTTGAGTTTGATTTAAGAACTTTTTTAAAAATGAGTTGAGTTTTGAGTTTGAGTTTTTTTCTTTGAAAATTGAGTTTTGAGTTTTAGAACAAAATTCAAACTCATTTCGAAATGAGTTGAGTTTTGAGTTGGAGTTTTAAACTCAAACCAAACTCACTGTGTGAAAAAAATTTTTCATGAAATTTCCAAACAATAAATGATAATTGTCACTTTTGCCTACAAGTTCCTTATAAAAATTCATTCTGGATTATTTGCTGATTTAACTGGATCTTTTGGTTCCAAAAGTTTTGAAATAAAGATTACAATAAGCAATACTTTTCAGAGTTTTCGAGCGAGAAAATCTTTTTAATGATCAATTCGTTGACTGCGCCTTTATGCTTACAGGATATGAAGCCCACGTAACTGGACATGATTGAGCATTACTGGATGTGGCTGTACATAAGGAACTGACTCCTTCCATTATTGTAAAACCATTTTCTGCATGATTTTTGTTCACAAAGTGTTCCATGATGTGGATATTCAATTAGAGCAATGGATAGGCACTGGAACTACCCGGTTCCGTTACATCCACAAAAATTTTTTTCTGTTTCTTTTTCATTAAGGAATCACCTCTGAAAGTTAAAATTTTTTTGCGGAACTAACCGGTTCCTTTGGTACCTGATGGTTGCGATTTCTTAATAGGAAGTCACTAAAGCATAAAACATCATATTAAGTCACTTCCAGTAGTCGAGTTCCCAAACTTATGCTGAGCAAATCTTGTTTGAATATATGAATTCAGTTAAAAAGGAAATGTGAAGCAGAATAATTAAAATCAAGAATTACTGAAATTCTTAACAGATGGGATGATCTCATTGGAAGCTCAATTGAATTAATGAGAAGATTCCGGCTTCTGGAAGGATTGAAAAGAAAACTGCAAATTGCTAAGATTTCTTATTCATCAGAAGATTCACTGGATGCCATTAGTCGTTATAAGGTGACAGTTCTTTTTGTGCCAAATTTTTCCGTAATTGGCATGTTTGATGAGATTTCATGCAAAACTCGGAAATTTGCATTGAAAATAAATTGCAACATGCAAAATCGATATTTGAAATTTATATTTCCTGATGATAAAGCTATTTGGGATGAAAAAATAGGCAATATACAAGAAGTGCTCAATGATTACTGTTAGAAGAACTACTATCACTAAATGAGTAAGTTAATAAAAACGGAGCTACACTTTTTTATTGGATTTCTCAATTGTTAAACACCAAAGTAGTGATTCTTAAACTTTAGATCCTAATAAACGCTGTTCTATGGTCAAAGAAGGTCCCAAATCATCAATAATTGTCGTATAATGCATAAAATAAAACAATGAAGTTTTAAATCTCTAAATTTAAAGTCGATAAATAATTGGAACTAGTTCTCAAGCTTCTAATTTTCAACACCAAACAAAATACAGCAAATTGACATCAATTTGAGGTTCACAAACTCACAAACACATTTGAGAATTAAAAATCAAATGTTGACAAAACTTAAAGTTTGATGATTTCCTTCTCATCTTCATCAAATTTATTCTGTCTTCTACACATATCTTTTTATTTTTTTGGCCGACGATCATGAAATATTGTACTGATCATCAGTTGAAGCATTCCATATGTTTTTTGTGTCTCTTTTTTCATTCCTTTTTTGACTATAATGTCATGAGAAATGGGGAAAAAAAGAGAAGAGAGGAAAGGAACTCAGAATATGAAGAGCAATGATCATTGACGTTCAAGAGTCTGTAGCTGTTCAGATCAAATTCTGTTTTAGTTCTCGTCGAGGTTTTGAAGGGATCGGTTGGGAAATTGTAAATAAATTATAGAGCAAGAAGTTTAGGAACAGAGTGTCTAGTGGAAGTGAATTAATTGAAAAATTATTTTCTGCATAGCTGATGTGAGTAGAATTGAGTCTGATCAAGATTAGAAAGGCAATAATCATAAAAAGAAAACAATTTGACAATCATAATACATCCTTCAACATTTTCACAACTAGATTGCTGTAATATACTCAAAAATACACTGATTCAGCTCTTCGTTATCAAAAATTATTGCGTTCATCTTTAAAAATGAAAATTTTTACAAATTGCAGTTCGGTGATCTCTTTTTGCTATCAATTCCTGCGGTTTATTTTCATACGTTTGAATGAATTTTTTGATTCATTTTACAATTATTGAGTTTGAATGAAGGAAATTACGGTCGTGAAATTGCACTTCTGGTTGCATTTAGCTTTATTTACTTATTGTGATTTTATTAAAGCAATAACTGTTCAGTTTAAGTTGTTTCAGTAAACTTAAATTAAGATAGAATTCATATAGATTAGCTTGAAACTTAACTAAGGATCTTGAGAAAATCTGGAGTTAACTCAGCTTGCAGATTTGAATTTCATGAGGAACGGCTTTCTTTTTACTTGCTTTTTACTTCTAAGGAACAAATCAAAGACCTTAATTTAAATAAAAGTCAACAATTAATCAACAAAGGACTGGATTTGAGCTTGATAATACAATAAATAACTAGCTAAGATCTAGATTTTTGTGGATTAGAGTAATAAAAAGTCAGTGAATAAAACCAAAAAAATATAGATTTAAATTCCATGACAATAATAATAAAGATAAGCTAACTTCAGACCTAAGACAATAACAATTTAATTGAGAATTCATTTAATCTTTGAGGATGAGTCACTTCTAATAAAATGTCAATTTAAGGATCCGAGCTAATTTGAGCTGACAATTCTCATTTAGAAGTAATTTCAAATTCAGAGCTAGGATAAGGAACTGATTTATCCAATTTCGATCTAGTTCAAACTGAATCAAGGTGGCAGAACAATCAATTTTAATCAGTTCTGAAATCTTGTTTCAAAGATTATATCTATATTTAATTCTATTACCTTCCTTGTGTCTCTAGAGTAGCTTTCGCAAATTAAACTGTATTCAAAGCCTTTCCAGTTTAGTCTACAAACAACAAATGCGTTTCTACATTGATAACAGAAATTTCAATTCCCTTTTCCCATTCGTCAAACATTTGATTAACCTAATGAACTCCTAACCGCTATTCGTATCGCACAAAAGCTTCTTTTCTTATTTATAAGACATTTTGGTGTCGATTTAATTGATTTATAAAGTGAAATATTTGTAAATAAAGTTTCAGATTAGAATGGGAAAAAGTAACAATATTCTTATCATTTTCAGATTAGACTGGATCATCATGAGGATTATTTTAATTGGAATATTTGTGTTGTTTGGAGTGATTCTCGTCAGTGGAGCCCCGCAAAATCCAGTCACGTGAGTAGCTAGTTTAAACAGTATAACTTGCAATTTGTGCATGTCAAAGTCTAAATATTTACATAAACCAGACTCCACTAAACTGTGAATATCCATTTCACGTCAGTGACTGTAAAAAATATTTTCCATTAATATCTTCGATTGCAGGCACTCGGAAAATTTATTTTAAAATATGGTGTACTGTAAACAAAATATAAAATAATAATACTCATAAAAAAAGATATCACATCACATTAATTCATGCAATGTGCAGTCAGCTTCTTACGTTATTCTTTACTTCTTGTTCCCTCATAAGGCGTTTATGACATTTTCATTGTTCACTTCCTTTCAATAAGTCATCTTAGCTTCTGTTAATATTTAATGTCTTTTTTAATCGTCAATGTTTATGGATATAATAAGGAATGGATGTGGTTGGATGGCAATTGCGCATTTTCAATGATTATAATAAATGTTAAGGTTTGGTCAAGTGGATGAGATTTTGAAAATTGGGTTGAAGAAATGTTTCAATTTGTGATTAATTGAATCCAAACTTTCAAAACAACACCAATTGTAACTATAGATCAGTGTTGCATTCTGTCCATTTGCCTGGATCAGATAAATTCTGAGACAGAAATTTCTTCATAAAGATCGATTCTATATGAAGATAGAAAATCTAATCTACACAAAGATTATTTCTACATAAAGAATCTGTCTACATAAAGATTCGATGTAGATGTCTACAATTCTACATTTTTTCCAGGTCTACATCAGAGAAGAATGTAGAATTGTAGACATCTACATCGAATCTTTAAATAGACAGATTCTTTATGCACAAAAAATCTTTGTGTTGATTAGATTTTCTATCTTCATATAGAATCGATCTTTATGAAGAAAGTTTCTTAGCTAGACAAAAACTATTGAAGAATCTACATTCTTCATCTAGTGTAGACAGCTACATTTGCAACACTGCTATAGTTAATAGAATAAGCAATACCAATTCATTGGCTCAACCTTGATTCAATTCTTAGTATAGAACTAACGTCAGACTCTTCTAAGTCAATCAGAAACATCAGAAATTTGTAATAACTTCCAAGTCAAAAGCTGAACAGTCACATCGTCAAACTGTCTATGAAAATTTATGATCCCGTTTCCAGAAATGAGCTAAAATAAAATTGTATAAATTGTAAAGCGCTATAAAAAGTTGTGTGCCTCGTTAAAAATCCATTTAAAATGAAAATTGTTTTTTTTCCTTCTCATTTCTATTTCATGGAAAATGCATCAGATGTTTTATTGTTCACTTTTTTTTTGGAGAGTGATGGGAAGCGATGCATTATAGAAAAATCCATCATAAAAAAATATTGTGTGGTGTTTTTAACACCCTAAAATTGGATGTTATGGTAGCTATGTGTGCCTATATGAATTTGAATTTAATTTTTTATTATTGGAGCATTTTATGCATTGCTGTACTGTAAACAAATCTCGTAACTTTATGACTTGTTAGACGATTCTTTTTATTGACTTCTTCCTTATGCGGAAGAAATGAACGGAAAATTTAATTTTGATAAACAAAAAAAAATTATATTTGCTAAAATAAAAATGTTTTTACAGTCATTGTACTTGAAATGATCGTCAATTTCTCATTTTTTTGTGGGGGAGTTTAATGGACTTGAGGAAAAATAACAATTTTTAAATACTTTTTCATTCACTGCCAAATTTTTTAAGAAATTTGAGCTAAACAAAGGAACTTCCTTGTATAATGACGTTTATGGTGATTCTTGACGTTCGTCAAGCAGATTCTAAAAACATTTTCAACAAGAAATGAGAAGTCAAGCTGGGTCTTCACACAAAATTCGAGAGTTTTATTTTTCATTACTAAGAAATTTGTTTCCACAGCTACGGTCAAGGCGATTCAATGCTCTTAATTTATTTTTTTGTGGAATAACATGCTGTATTGTTTAAAGGTTTTTAGAATTCTGGATTTCTGGGAGTTCATTTGTTTTGACTGTGGGAGATATTAAGAACAATTTGGTACCAGATGTTTATTTTAGAATTTTAAAAAAGAGGTCATTCGGCTGGATATCTGTTACAAATAGAATGTAGTTAAGAACTTATTAATTCTAGTTATGAATTAGGTTAAGTTGCTGCGTTGGAAATCTTTCATATATCGAAGAACCAAAGCTGATACTCGTTAGGTCAATGATAAGGTTTTTTCATAACTTCATTCTGAATTCTTTAAACAAGCTAGATTCGTAGATGATCGCATCAACTTCTGTAACTTAAAAGATTTCAACAACTTGTCGATCTTCTCGTGATAAAGGTCGTCTTATGTATCCTGCTCTGGAAAATCCAGTTCAAATCGAATATATTCAAATTGAAGATTTTCTGAGTTGTTGATAACAACTTAAAGAACTGATATCTATACTGGAATCAGCAATATTTACTATTAGAAACTTATTTTATAGATTTAATATCTCATTGATAACATCTCAATCGTCAAGCAAAGTTTTTTTAAGGTTCTTCATTTAATTGAGTTTAAGACTAATGAACTTCTGTATTCAAATATAAAATTAAGATTAAGAATATAAAACTGATCTAAAATGATCAAAAGTCAAATTGATCAGTTTTACTTTGTTTTAAAGACGTTGCAGTTTGATCCAAATCACATTCTAAAGTAATATTCTAATTGAAACTTTAAAAATAATGTGTATTGCCTTAAAACAAAGGATTTGAACTTATATTTAGAACTTATGTTGATTTTAAAAGATCTTTGACAGACCAGAACTCTCAATTAACATTGTTTTCGAATCCTCAAGTTAATCCTGTTGACTTTGGATTGTAGAACATTTAAAACTCGCATCAACTTCAAAATCCTATTGACAAAAAGCAGACAATCTGTCTCTCGAACCATTCTCATTACCCATAAACTCTGCTTAACATAACGCTTATTAAGTGGATGATTTGTTGACGCAATTTCTCTCTCAATGAGGCATTAAAAATATCATTTTAAATGCCAAATTCATCTAATCATGCTCGACAAGCTTCATAATCATTTAACGAAATATGATTCCAAATGTGAAAAGAAATGTTTTTAAAGAAGCAGACTCAGAAATGGATCATATGTCGCACTGTGAACTAAAAGGCAATTTTTGACGGTTCTATAACTCGAGAGATGTGTGGTGCTGAGAACCTGTCAAGACAACAAAATAATATTCGAGAGAGAAAAAAATAAGGTTATACATAATATGAAACACATTAACAGAGAGGCAGTGGAACTTGTCGAAAAATGTGTATGACATGAACCATAAAGACCATCTGGAAATGATGAATTGTGTTTTGTTGATGATCAGCATGAAGGGTGAATGTTTTCATTTTCTTTTCGTTTTGGGTATTTAAAAATACATTTACATGACGTTTTCAAGTGTCTTACTGAATATGATGTAAATGTTAACTTGCTAATGAGGCTTGAACGGAAATTTCCTCTCAAGATTTCCTCGAAAATCTTGATTGATTGATGGCTGCTTTTAATGACTGTGGGAATATTTTTTTTCATCATTTTAGGAATCAGGAAATTCGCGATGCAATCTTGTCGCTGGTTCATTCTAATTCTGTGATTGATCAAAAGTTGGAGAGACATGAGCAGCGTGAACGTGCACTTGGGGAACTGATTAAGAAGGGACTGATGACATTGCAGAAGAATCAGAAAATATTTGAGCCCATAAAAGGTTCTTTCGATCGACTTGACAAGCGTGTCAGCGAAATTGAGACTAATTTGTTGAATGTGAGTATTTTTAAGGATGCCTAGAAAAGCTCAGGGATGTATCAGCCCCTGGGAGAACCTGTTAAACTACCATAATGCATACCAAGCTAAACTTAGTAAGAACTAAAACTAATAAAGTTTTAAATTTCAACTCCACAGAACGAAAAGCAAACCCGTGAAGAACAAAAGAAGCTCACCAACCTATTAGAAAAGATCCTTGCAGCTTTTGAACAATCTGCAACTGTCTCAAACAGAATTGCTGAGACATCAGAAGAGGAAGAAGAATCTCTGCCAAAGAAAATTGGTGACTTGACTGATACAGTAAGAGAATTGAGACGAGAAATTGGAGAAATGAGAGCTGATCAGGACACAATGGAGGTAAGGAGTCGATTACTTATAATATCTTTCAAAAAATGAGACCCCAATCAGAAAATATCTGCCCTATTTGTAATTGTATAATCCCTCAGTGACATAAACTGTTTTTCTATAAACCCTCTTAGAATGCCAATAAGCAGCTCGTCTCACAAACTGAAGAAATCCTCAAAACACGCACAAATCAAGCCGAAGTCGTAGCCAAAAAATTAGAAGATAAGTTGAATGAACTTGTTGAAACTGGAAAGAATACAGAATTTGAAAATAAAATAACCAGCACATTAAGTGAATTAAAATTAGGAATTAAGGAACTGAGAACAGCTGCACCTACTGGATTCACTGAATCTGATAAGACTTTGTTGAAGGAATTGTCAAGTGAGATGAAAGACTCGATTCAAGATATGAGATTGGAGGTTTTGACTGCTTCTGATAAGAGTAAGTGTATTTCTAGGCTTTTAACGACTTAAACTCATTAAAAAGTATCAATTAATCAGCTTGAAACCCAAAAAACATATTTTAAATTCCTAATACCTCAATTTTCATCCCCAACAGGTTTTGCAAAGACAGCGACACGTATCAAAGAAACACATGAAGCTATCGACGAAGTCTCAAAGGCACTTACAGATTTATCAATTGCCACAGAAGCATTCTATGCAGAATCACAGAAAATTACACCAGATTCCAGTCAGCCAGTTGCAGGAAATGAGAATATTGCAAAATTAGAGAAAATTATGATTGACACATCCAATAATGTCCTTGAAACCAAGAGGAGATTTGAGTATGGAATTCATCAAATTATTTTAGAAGTTGGTGATGTTATGAAGACTGCAAATACATCGATGCAAAAGAGACTGAATGAGTTGAATGATGGAATCTTAGAGAATCATAATAATGCATTAGTCAATCTCAGTAGTAAAATTGAGACTGAAATGAGTCAAGTATGGCGTCAAGTTGGAATTATGTATCAGGAAATTACATCCAGTAAAAAAGTTCTAGATCATTTGCAAGAACAAACTGAGCTTTATGTCAACGGAACAATCACAACGATGGACTCAATGGAGGGTAAAGTTGGACTCATCACAAATCGTATGCAGGAAGTTGACTCAAACTTAAACTACTTATTGGGACGTTTGTCATTGGTCACACAAGAATTCAATCAAATAAAGTTCGGACTGGGTGAAGCACTGGATAATATAAGGAGTAGTTTTATGACAGTGCAAGATAAAGTGAAGCAAAATGCAGGTCCTGGACCGCATCAGATCCCTGAAGAACATACAGTTGAGAAACGGTCGTTTCCGTTTAATTTGAAACCAAAACGTAATAATAATTGAGGTTGATATAGAGTAAGAGTTTCTTAGTGACATAGTGACTAGTTTGAATAGGCTTAAATATGATGACATCTTTTAAAGTCCAGAAACCCGGTAAAGATATCTCGTGTCACTAAGAAAGCAAAGACAGCATCGGTATTCTTCATTTATCTTTATCTTTAGTAATCTAAAACTTAAAACTTTTTCATCGTCTATATTCTGAGTGCTTTAACATTAAGTAGTATGTACGGTATGTACTAACATTTCATTAGGGGTTGTTCACAAATGACGTTTGAAATTTTAACTTCCACAACTTCCATGTGTCACAAGAAGCGTTCGAATAGCATAAAATTGTAAACGTCATAAGTGAACAGCCCCTCCTTGTCTTAATCTCTCTATAAAGAATTTTTATTGCTTTTGTCAAATTTTAAGGAATGAATCATAAATAAATCCACAAAAGTTTGTCATTTAATCTTCAGCTTGATTTTCATTAATCTCATCATTATCTACCTTATTCATGTTCATTTTAGCCATCCGTAAAATCTCATCAACATTTACATCAGGCAGATAGGAACTAAATTTTGCAAATCCATCATGATCCCATCCATCTTCTGTTTTACTCGTTACAGCCATGTAAATCAACGTTGCATAACCGGGAATGATTTTTGCTGCGACATAAGTCCTCCCATCCGCACTCCACTGTGGCTTCATTTCATTCTTGTCTCCCATTTGCATCTCCTCAGGCTAGAAATTTTTTTGAGAATTAAAATTAATCGAATGGAAGTAATGAAATGTGATTAATATTTTTTTTTATCGTCATTCCAATTCCTCACCAAATGAAAGAAATAATCCTTTTGAATTGCTTGATTCTCAACTGTCTTTTTCATTGTTTTCAGCATATAACGGAAGAAGCGATTGCGATGATATTTAATGTTTAAATTGTCACTCTTCATTTTATTACATTGCGTCATGTAACGAGCACAAATTCGACGATCTTCTGATGATTTCATTTGTCTCATTAAGTCTTGAGCGAGGATGACATAATGACTGAATTCTTTATCAAGATAAGAACCGTCAATTTGGGTTAGCTGTGCGGATTCCATTATTGCGAGGAGGATGAATTTTGATAAGGACAATTTTATTTGACGACGAAAACTTATTAAACTTCTTTTTTTCGATGCTCACTGACGGAGAAATTAATGAATAATCTTTAATTGCTTTCTTAATTCGTTTATTGGATGTAATACAAGTCTTTAAATAATGTAAGGTCTTAAATCCTTGAGAAGTCAAAACTAAAGTCTATTTAGTGTTTCTAGTGGGAATCAAACTTCTGTCATTACAAAAGATACAGAACTTCAAAATCTTCAACTTCTTAGTTATAGAATAACATTCAGCTTTACTTCCATATAGGTTTAGGGCTAAGGGGGAGGGTTTCTAGTGCTATAGGGGGTACTAAACTTAAGAATTTAAAATTGAATTACTAGAGCTTCATTGCTAAGAATTCTGCAAATTATGCTTCCTCTAATAATACAAATATTTTCATTGATTAATAAAGCACATTCCTACATGCACATTTGCTCCAAATTCCTCCACATCTTCCCTTTTATTCCTGCTTTAAAATGTTGAAATTAAAATGCGTTCAACTCCTTCGCTTTATTCTCCAATTTATTCGTGTCTATTCCTCCTTTATATTTGAGCTATATCGTGTCAAAAGTTTCTTTCATAAAGTTTGTTCACGTGGAAAAAAAAAGATAAAAAGGAAAGAAAGAAATTGTCGCTCTGTTGAAATGAAACAATGATGACTGCTGAGCGACGGTAAGAGAAAGAAAAAAACTTTTTTCATCTCCTTCAGGATGTAGCAGTTACAGCGAGTGTGCCTATGTATGTGGAAATAACAGCAGCAGTCTCATTATGTATTTTACCATAAAAAAATATGCTGGCGCGTTTGAAATTGTCAAAGTAATTTTTCATCAACACTCTTGCCTTCCCCCTTTTCTTCTTCTTACCCTCCTTCTGTTGCTTGCTGCCTTCAATCGCTCAAGGGAACGTTATCTTTAACAATTTCTCGATGAGTGTAATTTATATTTATTGGCATCATGTAAGTGCTATCATCATGTTTTTCCGCTTTTCATATGAGCACATAGCATATCTATTTTCATAGAGTACAGTAACTGAGAAGCGATCATCATGATTTCCTCGACAAGGAACTCGTAAAAATCATAAATAAAAATTTATTCCAGAGATAGTAAATTATTGAGTTCACTTCCCTTTTTTTTGGCGCAATACATCGAAATTTATGATAAGAGGGAGGATGTTGCTGGTGCTATGACATCAATTTTGGATATATTCTAAAACTACATTTTGAGTTTGTCAACTGAATGAATTGTTATTTCAAATCAGGAACGTTGGCTGGTCGATACAGCAAAGTAAATTACGGAAATGGTTCCCTGATTTTACCTAACCTTAACATGGCTCTTTCGAATGGTGTCAGCTCCCAAGTAATGCGGAATCATCGATGTTTCATTACGTTTGCAGTAATTCTAGCTTCTTAGCAGCCCATGATAGCTTGTTGGTAAGAGTTTATATGTCGCAAGGACGTTGGTTCGATTCCAGTTCGAAATACGTTGTTGAGAAGTTTACCTTTTCTTCTAAAATCAAGATTTAGGTTCTACACATAGTTCATTCAACAGTGGTTCATCTTAAAAGAATGTTGAGAATATAGTAACGGTTATTTAATATTCAAATTATGTATGCAACTATAATTAGCTTGTTTCCCCTTGTATAGTTGTTAACCCCTTCATATGAATATCTAGTCTGTTTCTGATCTTTGAATTGGATAGATCTTTGTGATTATATATAACAATATATAAGGGGTCGTTCACTTATGACGTCCAAAATTAACGGTCAGTTTTCAAAAAAGAACAATGGATTTCTAGGAATTTCTGTTGTTCTTTTCTTGCTGACACTAAAGTCAACATCTCTAATTGATGTTTGGTCCAATAGGTTCGTTCACTTATTACGTAACGCACTAGGGGGAGGGAGGTCTAAGATTTTGTTACGCTTTGTTACAGGAGGGGGGGGGTCTAAAAACTCGTTTTTTTGCGTTACGTAATAAGTGAACGAGCCCAATACTAAACAACAAGATTTCAACTGTTGAAACAATGAATTACTTGAGATTCCAATTGCAACTCTAGTCATAAACTTTACAGCAAGATTCTCTCAATAAAATCGATTCCGTTAATACACAAAAAACTCAATTCAACTCCAACGTAATGACTTTAAGGCGTTTCAATTCCAACTTTTTTTATGAGAATTTATTTTTATTTTGGAGCAACTTCAAACTGATTACATCGAAAAACTTTCTTATTTGAAGTCTAATGACTCGAATCCGATAAAATAAAATAAAAGAAGGAAGAACAAAAAACAGTCTTTCATTAAAGACAATTGAGTTGACTCCCTTTTTTGCGCCTGAATGTTGCGTAAGCATTTCAAATAAAAATATTTTTGCCTAAATGTATGCAACAATTGCTTCACATGCGTATGACTGGATGTTGACAGTAAAAATGTTTTTAAATTTGATTTTATTATTTTTTTGTTGAAGATTTTGAGTGTTTTAGTATAAACAAATGTGTATATTGCCAGCAGGCAGTCAACAAAAAAAAAGGAAAGCCTTTCTGATTTGAATAAAATATCAAAGATTTTTATTTTTGTGATCACGTTTTTTTGATAATTTCATCGTTTGGCTTGTAAAGCTTCTTTAGATTCTATGGTAATTGTTGTGTTATGCTGTCATTTATTTAGATTTTATTTGCTTTTAAGTTTGTATTTTTATGGACATTTGAGAAGTATAAAGGATTATTTTTGGAAGTGAATGAAATTTAATGGATTTGGAGTTTAAATAAAATATATTTGGATATTAATATTCCCAGTGTAGGTAGAGTTGAGAATAGAAGTTTAACTTTGAGTTCCTTTTTGGATTTAAATTTAATTAAAATCAATCTTGGTGCTGTAACCAAATAAAACAAATACGTAAACTTAACCTAAAATTAAGAGACAAAAGGCAAATAGAATGCCTGAAACCTTAAAAACAAAAGGCAACAAAATGTACAGAAACTTTGTACATATCTAAATTTAAATGTAAATAAATAAAAAGTTTAAAAAAATACAATCTTGGTGCTGTAGACCGAAATGTTCAGGGATAAGGATCATAGACATTTACAAGAGTTAAGGCTACCTACACTTCATCTTATAGAAGGAGATCTAGGATATCCAAGCTAATCTGGTTAAGATATGCTGGACTATACCTAAACTGTCCATGACTAGCACTATAAAGACATCCCCTTGACTGTCAATTATCCCAAATTTCATTTCCTTGAATCTCCTATTCTTATTCCCACCTCATCCTTATTAAATCACTTACTAAAGTACCAAACCCAAGAATCATCAACTTAAAAAATCAGATAAAGAGTGATAAAATCTCAAAATGATGGGAAAAGCAATATCTTCACATATGAAAATATATTCAAAAAATGCGTGCAATAATAAGAAAAAGTAAAGCATTTCTTTCTCTGATTGTGACACTCATGCAACCCTAACCATACGTATGGCCAGTATAAAAAGATATTTTATTGCTTCTATCCTTGCGGACAACTGCTGGTTGGGAATGTCTGCATCCATTAGACTTATTGTTTCGAGTAAGAATAATAAAAAATCATGGACTGATTCATATTCTGTCGGATCTAGTAATAACAATATTATATTGAGATATATTGTTTGCTGGGGATATATGGACTATTTTTTATCGCTTAAAAGTAACTTTTTTTGAGGAAACGGACCGAGATTGAAGGGAGCTATAAAAATAAAAATTGATGATTATTGTGAATATATTCCTATGTCTATCCATTAACTATGAAAAAGCTCTTCATTTTTTTTTTCTTCGGGTCTACGACAATTTCTTCTAACGACTGCTCGTAAAGCGATGAAGGAAAAATTTAAGAAGGGAGAAATCCCAGATCGCCAATGTCGAGTGCCTCATTAAAAATCTTTATTGTTGTGAAAATTTGTTGCCGCTTTTTGTGGATGAAAAGTAATTTTTTTAAACATTTTTGTTCATGAGGAAATTTGGTTTTTCCTTCCGATGGCTGCAATTTCTCACACTCTTGTGATTACTTATTTCTCTTTTCTTATTACCGCGGGGACAATTTCAATTTTCCCTTTTTTTTATTTCTCGGGTTCTTATCGTGCTGAACATATTTTTATGTATGTGTTACCATACTTTTATTGAATACAATATGCTGTATGGTTGGCATTTTGAGTTGTAGGGTTCAGTTGGGGTAGCTAGCAGTGGTGTCTGAAATTTGAATTTGGCCCTTGGTAAATAGGTTAGCTAGGTTCGATTTTGATTGACAATTTGAAGAGCTGAACTACAATGGCTGGGTAACATTGCGGTTTTGGACTTCAGGCATTAGACCTGGCATCAAAATAGATTGTATTTTAGCAAGCAACTTTTAAGAATACTTTAGTTGATCAAAATGACTTAATTTAATATTTCAAGGATCAACTTGGGATCAACTAATATTAAATATATTTTCAAATAAATCTTTTCTAGAACTTTTCCGATCATGAATCAAAATACTTAAAATCACATGACATAACAAAATATATTCAAAATAATGAGTATCCTAAAGGCAAGAAAGTTGTTTATTTCATATTGTCAAGTGTTCATAATTTGTTTTTATACATGACACACATGATTGGTCATAATGCTTAAGGGTGATGTTTAAAATATTTGGAAATGCGTATTGATTTTTAAGGATATTTAATTTTTAAAGCTTTCAAGTTATTAAATCTTTTAAATGTTTTTTCATAAGAATTCGTTAATTTGACTTAAGATTTATGGTGATTTTAATGAATTTCTAAGTATGAAAGGTAACTAGTCTTCTTCTGATCAATCAATTGAACTTAATTTATTTATTTCCAAAAAATCCTCAAAAAATCTTCAAACTTGAATACATCCAGAACAATACAAAAACTTAAAATTTATTTAATTTAGAAAAAAGAAAAGAAATTGTCACCCAACTCTCGGATCCAAGACATGTCAAAT